AAAAACTCAGCACTGATGATGCTCACCTAGAAAATACACATACACTTGACATTATCGTCTTCATTTATTTTACCAAACGCAATGTTACACGATTAAACTCTTGTCAGGCATCTTAACCTCTCCTACTCCACGATGAACTTTCACGGCACCAGAAATATATCATTGAACTTCATTCTTAGCCCCGGATTTTTCTCCAATTACTTAATCTTTATAGGAAAAAAATAAACCTCCCTGTCTATGAGCAATTTATACTCTTAGTTCCCCGACTAGATGTCTCCTGCACACAATGAATATCTATCAAGCGATGCAATGACACCCCGGAAAAGCAATACAGGAACTAATCATGGAAAAAACTAGTTTCGTTTTATACTCTAATGCACTGGCAGAATTTAGATCGCCCTGCCTTTTTAAAAAAAACTGTGAATTATCTTGGTAACAAATTCTTTTTCTGTGAAATTACTTTCTGAAATTACTAAACAAGGCACCCAAGGAGCACTTTGATATTACGCTCAATTTGCATTCTACTGAAAAGAGTAAATAAAATGCCACTGATTTTTCTGGCCTGGCAAGATGACACTGGCCAAGCAGTGATGAATTTATGTTCATTGCATGGAGCTGAATGGCAAGACAATTATGATTATAGTGAGAAATCTGGCTTGTCAAGTGCGTTTGTTCAGCATCAGCGCTGCAGTTGGTGAGAAGAAGGGCGAACTCAGCGAGATGTACACACTGAAATTGTCATTTTGAGATACTCACAGGCTCTCTTTGCACTTCAATTGCAAGACGGCGGTTTTCAAGCTTAAGGGTAATTTATAATCTTGTTTATAACCAAGGTAAAGCCATGCAACGATATCAACTTATAGACTTTTGATTTCGACCTTCTGCTTTAAGGTATTTTTAGCACGAGTATATTGTTCAGCATTAATTTTGAGTCGAAATATAACACAAATTCCGCATATAAAAATAGTTTATCGATTATAGGTGCCTCCCCTATTCATTGATGGTTATTTTCGTCAAAATTTTATATATACATATATAACTATGTTCAAAGAATAAACAATACGTACCAAAACTGCCGTTATCTACTAAATGCATTATACAACTTTGCGCAGTTGCACTATCCTTACAGAAGAACATTTTCGTGCAATCCGTAGGTAATTAAAGACTTGTATTTATAAAGGTAAAAAAAGCTGTTTATTGCTATAATTATTACTCCTAATCACATTCCAACTCTTGTCTTTATGATAGTCAACTTGTATGCTTCTTGTACAACAATTCTTGATTTTAATTAACATTGCGGTGGTATTTCATAGGTTTTGCAGAAATGTCGCTAACGTTCGTGCCGTTTTACATAATCGTTGTGAGAAACAGGCAAACCACTGAAGATTTTTCTCGATAAATATTCCATCTATGAGACGCTCTGGAGATTTAGGGTTTTTTTCACAATAATGTTCAAAATAGAAATTTTTTGCATTTTTGCGATTTAATCCACATCTTCTAAAACCTTCAATGTGGAAATCACATCCGTACTGTCATTGTCTACACTCATGGATGATATAAACAATTTTTTCGTAATCCATGACAGTATCTGCTTCATTCAATTTCGCCAACTGAGAAGGACATTCCACGGTATATTTTGAATATGAAAAACTGATATAGCACGGATCGCAGAGCGATGAACGCCATGTTGGTTTTGTTCTTCAGGTAGTTAGGAAAAAAAAGGTATATCTAATCGAACTTACACCCGAACGATCAAACTACACTATTACTCACTATCACTATCACTATCACCCTGAGTGTTCAAGCGTTTCCATTGCATCGAAAAAGCCCAGAATTGGTCGTTATCACAATGCTGCGTCAATTCCCCTTAATAATGGTAGTCTGCTATGACAATTGGAAACCAGTAGGGGTTTAGTTTGCCTTTGGCCGTTACTCAAACTTCGAAAACTTCCCAAAGAGATTTCGTGCCTTTAGAACCCCGACTGAGACAAAAGAGCCGTAATATAACATTTTATAAAATAATTCAAATAGTACGCGCGCTCTGATTGGCCATAAAACCATTTTACATGAGCGTATGTAAACACGGTTTCGTTCCTCTTTCATTAGTTATTTTATAACAGAAATGTAAAATGGTTTCCGTGTTTACATAGCCTGATGTAAACACTTGGGAGGTTGGGAGTAAACTTCGGAAACTTGAAAGTCAGCTCTGGATCAAGGTCTGGTAGTGGGAGTACTATTTGTCGACTTCCGGAAGGCCTTCGACTATGTCAACCATTCTATCCTGTTAGAAAAACTGAAGGCCACTGGAATGTAGGGCCCACTCTTCTCTTGGCTTGCAAACTACCTGTCTAACCGGAACCAGTTTGTTCAAACTTCTGGAAAGAAATCTGCCCTTCAACCTGTGAATTATGGAGTGCCACAAGGGTCCATTCTGGGACCGAGATTGTTCTCCATATATGCTAATGATCTGCCCGAATCTACATCTTGTGGTGACCTCTAAATGTTCGTTCACGACACCACGGTTTTTATCATTGGTAAGGATATAGAAATAATCCTCTCTTCACGAATCATCTCTCAAGCGAATTAAATTCCTACCTCAGTCCATTTTGGAATCAATCTATTTCAACGCAATTATTCCTGGTGTTGTGCATAATATTGTTGTTTGGGGCTCTGTTTCCTCGGCACTTATGGAGGATATTGAACGTATTCATATAAGAGCATTAAAGATTGTCTACAAGCTACCTATGACCACTATGACCACTCCAACTGATGAGAAACTGAGGCAATGGAATCCCCTCTCTTCGTATTATGTAAAGAGACTGCTGGTTGTGACCTACCAATCCTATCATGATTCAAATACAGAGAAACTGAATACTGTAATTTCTAAGGCAAAACCCAATCACATTTCAAGGAATTCTTTAAGTATAGAAGTGCCAGGACCAAGATCTGAAATAGGCAGGTCCACTTTTAAACACAGTGCCGCGTTGGCATGGAACCTTCTTCCGCATCATTTCAAGGACATCATTTAAGATTGGGCTTAATGTGAACAAACATCTACTAAATAGCATAAATTTGGCCAGCGGTTCCTGCTGTGTTTCAATGAAAAACGATGATTTCTTATATTTTTAGATATTTATGTATTATTTACAATGATTGCATTTAAATTTATCTAATCGTTATTGCATTTAAGAAGAAATTTATATCTTGCTCACCTAAATTTTTATCCTTATTTCAGTGTGGCAATATTTAATTAGCTGTAGTTAGGCAGGTCCACATCAGGACTTCGGTCATGCCAATTTTCATAATCTGCATTGTTAAATAAAGATGTATGTATGTATCGATGTATGCCGTAGGTTCACAGACATAGTGTCATCAAAGGAGCCGCGGAAAAAATTGTAAAAATTAAATAAATTTGTTTTTGAGCTTATCAATAAGTAACTGTGTAGCTATGAATGAATACCACTGTTGCTCATAAACTTTTATTCCATTTGGTGGCTTCTAAAGAAGCCTTTTTCATAAAAGCAGCATTTGGCTCACTGGATGCGTCCGGCGAAATAACTCTTTGTCAGTAAACTTGATCTGAACTTTCTCTACTGGGCGGGGAGCTGTTTTGCGGCCTTGTTCATCTACGAAGGAAAGCGACTTGTCAAGAAGCAGCTTCAAGTTGACTGGAGCGTCGACGCGACATCCGCCGCCTGTTACTATTAAACACCTCTTCAGATAAGGACCAAGGCCTGCTGCTATCAGTTCCTCTTCACTGGCGAGGTACGGAGACCCACGTCAACGTAGCGGCGTAACCAGAGTGGTATCGTCTGTCGGCAAGTCGAAAGGGCGCTTTCCTCGATGTTCTGCATCACAATTTCTGCTACAACAACAGAAACCAGAGACCCCATAGCTGTACCGTGTAACTGTTTGTAGTATTTGCCGTTGTACTGAAAGTAAGTTGATGTCAGGCAAAGGTTTAGTAAGTCCATAATGTCCTCTGTCGGTAGCGGTAGTGGGTCTGTAGATTGTAGGATGGCAGTCTCAGTACATTGTAGTGCCAGTTGAAGTGGAATACTTGTAAAAAGCGATTTCACATCAAATGACACTAGTTTGTAGTCGTCAGGTATCTGTACAGTCTTCGTGGCGTTAATGAAGTCCTCAGTGGATTGTAGTTTTCGTCTGGATTTGTCGGTGAGCGGTTGTACTATTGTCGTTAGGTACTTGAACAGTTGGTATGTCGGAAAACCACAGAAGGAAACAATAGGTCGCATTGGGAAACCAGGTTTGTGTAGTTTCGGCAGACCATAAAGTTTCGGTGGCTGTGGTACTGAGCACCTTAGTCGGTAGTAGCGTTGAGTGTCAATGGCGTTTGTCTTCTTGAGTGTCAGTAATGTCCTGTTAAGTTTGCGTTTAAGTGTAGGAGTCGGGTCACGTTTGAGTTCTTCGTAAGTCTGTTTGTCGTTAACAAGTGCGTCCATTTTGTCGTGATAGTCAGTCTTGTCCATGACAACAGTAACTCGTCCTTTGTCGGCTGGTAGAATAACTATGTCCTTGTCGTTTCTCAGTCGTTTAAGGGCATGTTGTTCGTCTTTAGTCAAGTTGCTGTCATGTAGTGACGCTGATTGTATAGTGGAATTCTACTTTTTCAATTCTACTTCTGATGTTACCCTTAGTAGACTCAGGTAGCTCTCGTTGTCGAGAAAGAGCTGCCTCAACACTAGATACAATAGCTTCGGTCGGTATCCGTTTCGGAGTAACTGAGTGTTTCAGTTGTCGACTGACAACAACCTTTCACTTGACTCTGATGATGACTTCCGCTCAGGTTGTCGAAACGTCAGTCACCACTACCGACAACAGTCCTTCTCAGGACTACACTCACCCGGACCGGACCACACTATTACATGTTAACCCCCGGGTTCAACCCATTTACTGAATAACAGTAAATGCATCCCAACAGTTGCTTTCTTCTTCGAATGCCTTAAATTTTGCCATCGATCAGGAAACATAAACGAACGTTAATGAACGCATGGTTTCTATTTAAAAATTAAGCGAAACATGTGTTTCTCATAGAAATCTCATCTTCTGATACATAGTATTCTAGACTTTACATAGGAAGATCATAACTAATAACTATAAAGTACTATCATTAAATTCCATTTAATTTATTGCTCCCAATCATTGAATGAGCGCAGTATGTATAGGTGGCTTAGTCTTTGCGCCATTCTGTTTCCTAGGAGCACATAAAGCTTTAAAACGAATAGGATTCTTGGTTTTAAATTGAAATCAATAGCAATAGTTTCTTTCGAATTAAAGAGAAACAGTCCATATTAAAGGTCTGTACATGCTTTTTATTGTTTCGGTCTTTCCACACATTGTTAGATATTTTTTGTGATGCGTAGCTTCCGTAAGAGCGATACAGCATTCCTTTGGTGATTGTAGTGAACCTGGTCTGACCTTGGTTTATCTTTTCTTGTTGCGAAATAAGATGGGTCTTTGTCAAATTCCTGTACAACGAAATATACACTTTTAGTACAACCATTTTATCGCATCAACCCTTTTCTGCTAACGTTTCAAGGGATCCAGGAAACTGAAAACATTTGGTCTTCGAGTAAAAGCAACTTCTCTCTAATTTGTATTTAGCTAATCGATGGGGTGATATTGAATGCCAAATTCAATAAGAAAATGTTCATTGCGCTCGTGTTGATGAACGGATGGGGAAAGAGTGGAAGATGAACTGACCATAGTTCCAATTAAATTAAAAAATATACTACTATTTAACAATTTTAGAAAACCAGAAAAGCAACATTAAATCGTGATTCCGAGCCGTACACAGATCCACAGGTTTGTTTCGATCAAGTCTTACCAGGGTTCTGCACAGAAGAAGATGTGAAATAAAATGAAATGAAGAAAATCAAGATTGATGAAAAAAAAAATTTTACAATGGATCAAATCAGAAAAAAGAAACCGTGTGATGAACTTATTTAAAACCTGGTATCAGTTTTTGTCACAGAATGTTTTCCACTATCCAAATGGTGCAACACAGACATAAAAACAACATAAATAAATGTCATACTTATCGTTTTTTTCCTCGGAAAACTAAAAAAGATATTTAAAAGGGAGCAAATGAAGAATTCAGTTAGCTTGAGTTTGAATCTCAGCACACCATTACATTTATTTCTATCTATTCTTTATCAAAGGTCTTTGGTTGGAAATCGTTTATATACAGTTGGATTTCAAGGCATAGCAAAGAACAATGAAACTTTTTACCTGTGTTGGAATAAATGAACGACCGGCAGCTGGACAAAGCATTGACCCAGGCCGACATCTTTTCAATCCTTGAACTGGTTGGCACACAAACATAAACATGAAAACTACCGCCACCCGGTGCATCTTGATTATACTGTGCCTGCCTATTTGTGAATTAAACAAATTTTACTGAAAATGTAGGGAAGCTACGAGGTATACTTCCTGAACGAAAATATCGCTTAAATGTGACCTTTTTTTCGCACTACCTTTATACAGTGGGGAAATTGTGAGATCTTACTTCTTTAAATATAGAAACAAATAAAATTTTGCCGTAAAATATCCCAAATGCGGACAGATGATTGTTAATGGATTCACTTTTGAGGCATTCTTTAGAACAGAACCGAATTTCCGTTTCCCTGTTTATCGAACAATGCGATTATCGAATAGTACGCTCACGTTTAAATCAATTGGTCGTTTTCTGCAAGATGGATGACACGGGAAGTAATTTAGCTGTGTAATTAACGTATGACAGGATAATCAACCAAATTTCCTGTTCTCCTGACTGAATAAAGCGATGTTATTGTAATATACAGTCTGAGCAATTAAAAGGTATTCATCAGAACGTGTCAAAGTTCGATGTCTCAGTGATATTAACATCAAAGTTTAATAACGTCGTTTTACCACCCTCGAACAGTAACGGTTAATTTTGTGGGTAATTATTGCCAAGAGAGGCCCTTCTTTTAAAATGTAAATTTTGATAAGATGGCACAATGCATGCACTCTGATTACTTTACAGTTTCTCTGCTGCATTTTACCGTAATCTTAAGAACTGTAATTTTTTTTTTTCAGGAACACCTTTTTCGCACCTTTATTAAAGTCTATTTGCGTTTGCGTCCCATTGTAAGTGCCTAATACTCATACTGGAAGGCAAATGGCGGCTATAAATCATAAAAACAAACACTTCATTCAAAACGGTAAAATACAATTTTCAGACGACAGATCTGTGTTGTAGATACTTTCGAGGACAAGCATCTCGGCGGCAGCTAGGAATTACACATCGCTTTAATGTTGATCAATACGATATCCGATACAAAAATTTGTTGATTTCCCAAAAGTAAAATATTGAAAATAAATTAAATATTTTCAGGTTTTTCTTTGTGATATTTTCGAATCAAGTAGCACCAAATGTGAATTCCCATAAACGAAGAGGAATAATCATATGCATATTCAACTCTTCGTTAACTTTTATGTCGCTCCTTGTAAAAATTGCAAGGATTTCAACCACCCATAATTAAGATTTTTTTTTTGGTAATACGAAACTTTATCTCTTCGAAGATAACTCATAAACCGGACTAAGATAGGAAACGAAATGACGCAAGGATCCGTCTTAACCAGTGTAGGCCTATTTCTGTTAAACGACATTTATTATAGCTTTATTTCTTTCAAGCGAGAACAAGACAAGTAAAAGGAAATAAAGATCCAAACTAGATAAACTTGTAAACCTTATTATGTTTTTCCAGTACACATCGTAGTATATCCAAAGGAGATAATAATCGATAAATGTAGACTGCGACTTTACATCACATCTCTTTCCAGCTCTTATTTAAGTTGCATCTAAAGTTTTATTACGAAGTCGGTCTCCTCAAGTACTCCCCGTGTTTTTTTAGGTTACTTCCGTGATAAGATAACATGCGGTGTTAATAAAAAAACCATTGTTTCGACTTTGAAGCCTAAATATAGCCGATAAAACGAAAGCAATTAGCAAACTTCTCTCCCTTTAAAAATTAAATTGATTTTTGAGTTAATTTCCTGTATTTAATGTGTACCTGTCAGTCTGAGAGTTCACAAAGGCCGAATGAAAAGAAAAGTAAAATGACTTAAATTAGAGTAAAATGTTAATATCACTCTTTAGAACTGTTTTCGAATTCGCTACGAGGGTGAGTGATTGCTCTCAATATTAAATATATGTGATTTCTTTCGGCATGATACGAAAGCAATATGTCAGGCCCAAATGTTTCTCGCAAGAATTGAATTTGTCTCTTAGCCTTAACCTACAATTCATTCTTTTTTGACCCGGAAAATATTACCAATATTATCTTATGCACCCTGGAATACTGAAAATAGGAAAGAGACTCGAAGTAAGGAAAAACGACTAATCAAACCTTACCAAGAATTATTCGGCCAAATCAGTCTTTTTGAACTTACATAATCCAAAAAGTCTTTGTTTACAATAAAGACTTTTTTAAATATATTTCATTTTGTTTTTATGCCCGTGCTCTGAATTGTGACTCATTATTCAGACACCTAGCTTTGGACGATGAACTTAAACACTGCCTTGTTTGATAACGTTTTATACTTTACAGGAAAATGTTTTCAAACCAAATTTTGCCGGATCAGTCTGTTAAGTTCTTTAACCGACTGATCCGCTTAATCTCTTGAGAAAACGTAAGCAGCTTCCAATAAATTTTGTTACACTCTCAGTATATCGTAAATTTATCGTTAAGAACAAGATTAATCTAAATGCATAACACAAAACAATTATGAAAAAATAATTTGCCAAAAATATTTTGCTTTAGTTTTTGAAAAAAATCAAAATTGCCGGTCTACTGACCATTCAAAATAGTAGCAAGGAGATTTTAGGATTTAACTAATATGACATCAAAAATCCCTCTCATTTACATGGCACAACTTCGCTAAAACACTGAACTGGCCAGAAACTGTTTCTAACGACTGCGTTTAAAAATAATGGTTAAAATGATAAAAATTTAACCCTCTTTTAAGAAGTACTCAAGAAGCCATTACTGCCACATGTTGTAACTGCAATGCAATAAAATACGTAGCAATGGTCAGCCATGACTTACTCTGCGGCTGCGCTGCCCTGTTCACATAGCTATTTCTTAACAAAGCACTGGATTAGCTGTAGAACCAATGTAACAGTACGCAAAAGAAGAGGAAACTCGACAAAGAAATTAAAGGCGTTAACCTAGAAAACACAAACATCAATACGTTTAGAAATGAAAATGGGAATCATTCCTTAAGAATTAATCAACAATTTGAGCATGGCATTGAGTATTAGTGGTGTTATGCTTGCGAAGAAGACTTGGACTGTAATTATTCATTCGCTTCAAAAAAGAGAATATCTTTCACAGACTTTAAATAATATTCGAACTTAGAGAAAGATCAAGGCTTTGATTAGTGAGAACATCTTTAGCATCCTCTCTCTCGCTGATTTATTATCGAGTGCATGTTCCGTTTTCAATCCGGAGCTAAAGGGCACCGAATCAGATCTGGTCGTTTGCCTTCTTCGCATGTCTTTCAAATAAAATAGTTTAATAATATGAACTTAATACATTTAACATAACATTTCTGGCGCGTTAAAAAACTTATGTACGATATTATCTTAAAGTTATAGACCGAAGTGTATGAAAAAGTCAGTGTATGAAAAACAAAGTAAGCTACCGTTTTAACTGACCAGAAAAAACATTCTATTGTAAACCCTCGATTGATCAGGACAACGCAGGAACCTTTCAGAGTTACGTTTTGCCTTCAGATCGGTTCCTTTTTCGGACCACATAAAATTTACTTACGCCGACCGTGTAACTACAATAAAGGTTCCTCGGAAATGAAGATCCCATATTTGTGGTCGGTCTCTTTGAACAACGGGCGCATTAGTTCTTGTTTGGATACTAGAAAATGGCCTGTAAATTCGTTACGCCTTCCAATTAAAATGAATTTAGCGCTTTCATATTTGAATATCGATCGAACGTGTCAAGACTATGGAGTTCTTATAGGACCAAGCCATACTCAAATACGACATAGATTTTATGTTCCTCAATAAGTGGTTAAATTTAGCTCTTGGTTAATGAGAAATCTAAATTAAAAATTAGAGTAACGTAATGAAAAGTTGTTGAAAGTTCAAACTGATCTCATTAAATGGAAGGACGGAAATTTGCAGGTGCGTTGAAGGAGCTATCAAAATTATCCCATCTTTTGTAGGTCTAACAAATTTTACCCTACCAACATCATATCTTGTTGAAATAATAGGTTCCATTTTATTTTTGTCGCCGAAGTATATCGTCTTATCACATTTAAGTTTTTCATCTGTACCAATGGTGTACGGCTGATTGGTTTTTCAGTCTTGATTAAAAGTGCGAATTGTTGATCAAGCAACCACCTTTTATTATTTTTTAAATAAATATCCTAACAAAATCCTTGCTCACATATGTCTCTTTCATGCCGCCAAGACAATTTAAAATCCCCCCATGTTAGTGTTGTCGTTATTTAAACCAGATCAAATACCTACGTTTCTTATCTGCACTCACACAAGCTCTGCCTGAAGAATTTTCAAATTCAGAAAATGTACTGCAAAATAGGAATTTTTCTCTCGGCATTACTTTTGATTAACTTAGTATCACTTGGTTTTTTGGAAGCTACGCCTGGCAAAGGTTGTCGACCGGGTTTAATGATGTGCAACCGTCGAAACGGGAAAAGGCAAGTAAAGGTGAGTCAACGTCTTTGAAAATAGAAAGTGAAACTTTGAAAAGCTATACTATGGCACAGCACGTTGCTGTGATGTCGTTCTAATGTGACATAATGGGTAAGAACTAGTCTTTATTTCTTTTTCACGGGATGATTTTGACGTTAGTTTCTAAGGTTGACAAATGCCGCCAAACTTCTAATGCAATTCGGATAATAAATCGTGAATTGACCACGAAAAGTTGATCGAGACACGTGGCACGCGTATATAAATCTCAAGAAGGTCCGTACATGATAGATCAAGCTTAGTTTCATGAAGAAATATTCCGATTCCTTTGAAAAAATAATTCCTTTTGATTTCCAAATGTGTTGCGGTGAACCTATGCATAATCTACTGTAACAGTACAAAGGGCGATAAAGCAGAGATCCTATTCAAGAATGTATGGCCGCTAGATTCAGACACTAAAATTTCTGGTAGCCCTGTTTTAAACCAACATGAATCTTTTTTTTCCTCTACTTTTCAACTTGATAGCACTGGTAACACTGTACACCACGAAATGATTGTATTCAATAAAAAAAGGCAGTCAATCAGCAAATTAGTAGGCATCAAAATGTTCATAAAAAAAGCGTTCTCCGTCTAAACTGAACGAGTGTGTAACGTTATCATATTACTAGCCACTGACCATCACCTATCATAAGCAATGCAAGAGAGTTATCGGTTTTTTTTTTCTACCAGAGGAAAGCCAGAATACTTTGTAGCTACATTTTGCTGATTCAGTGGTCCCATTTGTCGCCGAAATTTTTATCTTTAGAAGCACAATTCTCAAAATTCAACTCTACTTTCGGTTGTACAGACAGGAAGTTGATTTGCCAGGTTATTTAGTTTTCCAGTGCTTTTGTGACCCAGGTTTTCTATGTAAACATGTTATTAAGAGTTCGTGAATGAGCCGATGTTCTCAATTGTAAGACCTACCGTTGATCGCTTTCACCTCACTAAGCAGCATGCAGCTTAATTTATTTATTGTGGAATTTTATTCTTAGCAAGTTTGTCAAGCTTGATCCAATTCGCAAGCAGAGGTAGTTGTATATCGCCCTTAATTCAGGTTATTTTGTAACATTATGCTAAATTAAACGCTTCGTTATCACTATTGTTTCAGCTAATGCAAATATTGGTGTCACCTTTCCTACATTTGATGAACCTTCGAATTAAATCAACATCAAACACTATCCAGTACATGAAAACTAAACTCACGTTGGCTTCATTTGCGCAAACATGTAGGACCACATTGACAATGAGTTGCCGCTTTTCTGAGGCGTGTCGTGTCGGCGCGCGTCTATTTAGAGGATTCTCTGGATTAAACCTTATTTGTAAAGTTAGATTTACTAACAGTGAATCATGCTCATTTCAGCTTGGCACTCAGTTGACACAGCGACGTTTGGAGGCTGACGATGAAACATCGAAGGTATTGGTTCATGGACACGTAGTTTAGTGCGTATTTTTTCACGTATCACACGAGGTCTGTGTCTAACGCTATCAGTTTGAGTTTGGGTAACTTTTAATTTGCTGTCAATGAAGCAATTTCAGTCATCAGAGTAAGTAAAGCAAAAGTATAGATCTCACATAAATATAATGAATACCTTGAGATCAAAATGTGCTAAAATATAACAGAATGAAAAAACAAGGAAGATGTCCTATTGTTGTTAAATAAAAATGAAGAAAGTGAACCCTCGATGAGGACCACATCATGCACTCCAGATTAATGCTGCAATGCAATGATGCTTGATGTCTAATGCTTGTATTATCAGTTTACTCCAAGATTTATTAATTGCAGACCAGGTTGATATTTCTATTTCCGTATATCCTAGACAATCGCTAACGACATCCAAGAGTTTGGAGACAGTAAGTACTTGGGTGACTTACAGAATGACCAGGAGAGAGCCAAACAAAGAACGAACTACTTCCTTTGACTCCTCGTTTTAGAGAGCTAGTTTCCTCAAAGCATATATATGAAAAAATATGAAACATTTATGTTAAACATTAAGATTGAAAGGATTGACCCTCGATTTGCAGTCTTCCAACCGAACATGCTTTATAAGAGTCAATAAAGATATCCTAATGTCGTTATGTCATGGTGGCATATTCTATGAACCTAGATAACCGAGGGGGCCCAGATAGGCCAAACTTTTTGTTGATGGTGAATGTCATCGTTACCTCAAATCTTACATGTATTTTACGAAATTAGTTAAACGTTTTCGTATCTTACTCACCTTTGAAGTCGTTCGTCGGAATGTCGCACAAACGGTTGCGTAGCTGAGGAGACCACTCTTACCCTTGGACTGAGTTACCTATGTACACAATATCAGATCTTTCTCCTCTATTGGCTACTACACTTTGATGTTATCTAATCAAAACATTCTTCGGTTATAATCCATAAATGAACAACAGTAATAGTAGATCGTTCAGTGTTCTTGTTCAGGTTGGATTAATCCTGTAAAGTTGGTTTTTCTAGGTTTAACTGCAACCGAAGGATAACACAAGACCACTTTTCATTTTTTTTCGCTTATAATTGTAAAACTCGCTATTTTATGGGGGTTTTTTTCTTGTTGGGGAACCCTCAGGGACCTTGGAATAGGAAGAGAGAGACTTAGGTCGGAGTCATTAGTTATTAAACTACAGCTGGGTATCTCCTGAGATAAAGAGGCCTAAATGTTCCCTAACCATTTAATGAAATTCGTAAATCAAACCCGTAAATGTAATGATCAGATCAACGGAATCAAAGTTTTCAGTTTCTTCCGATTCCACTCACGGAGCCATCGCTGACAATCCATTTAAAGCTAGGGTATCGGTTTTGCAAGCACAAGCGGAATACTTAACTATTGAAAACGTGACATGCGAAAGTCTGGATGAGCAATGTAGAAATGGTTCCAACACTAGTGAAGACCAAGTGTCAACCGGATGATCAGGACTTGTTTACGTACTTTCAGCATGTGAACGCCATGTCGAGTCTCTGCATGGCTAAACACCAACAAGACCTTTCACATTACTTTCAGGAGTAAGACAAGAACTTCAACCATCTCCTTCAATTTCCTCTCAGTCATTCAATGAGAAAAAGCAAAAGGTCAATCTTGAAGAACCCAATAATCACTACTAAAACAACTTGGCAACATCCATTGAAACAATATGACGTGGCGATTTTTTTTGCCATTTTGTAATTATGATACATCAGTAGAAGTAAAAAACGAATTACATATACATTAATATGATATGGCTAAGATTTAGCACGAGGCGAGGAAACCCGTAGGGAAACCAAAAGGGTTATGCGAGTTACAGGCTCCTCCTATTTAAAAAAGTGAGGTATCAGTTTTATGGCGTGATTTAGGTGCAAAATATTTTAGGTTAAAAAGGAAAGGGGACGCACATAAAAAAAAGAACAACAATAGCAGATACTCAAACAAACATACTTAAGCAGCGTGAGAAAAGTAAGAAAAAAATAAAAATAGTAATACAAAAAAAATTAACAAATAAATAAATAAAGAAGAGTAAGAAGGGAGTCAACTTAGGAGTAATGTTCACAATTTATACTTCAACATGGAAAGTGTGCCAACATTTTAGATTTCTACATTAAAATAATTGAAAAAGTTAGGTCTTTGGAAACATAAAGCAAACTGTTTGATATTTGTTCTGTTAGAGGGTATGTAAGACGAATCGCCGATCGCATAGTTTAGTGTAATAGCAATAATTGCTACTCGAAAACCAAAATAGTTTTTTAAGAGCATCAAGAAGACGGCTTATCTTGAACAAAAACATGATCTTTCCAATTTGAAATCGATATATACTGTATAAATTAGGGGTTTTCAACTGCTTAAATGTAGGTTCAGTATGAGCGTTAAAAATACTTCTGGATATAATTTGTACCACCTTTTTCTGGAGTAGGACAATACGTTTCAAGGTGGATGGATAAGTGGAGCCCCATACCGTAATGCAATCGAGTAAGTAGGGACGAACAAGACTATAGTACAAGGTACATAAAGTTGAAGTAGGTAGGCAGAGACCATTGCTTTGTAGATTATACCAATGAATTTTTAAACTTTCCTAGCGATATTAGCAATGTGCGGTTTCCATGACAAATTTTCGTTAAGAATAACGCCTATAGACATAAATTCTTTAACTTGGTCATTAGTACATTGGGTAGTCTCTAGTTTAATGTTAAGATTTTCCTTTTTCTGTCTTGGTTTGAAAACCATGAAATTTGATATAATTATATTCATCGAAAGTTCATTGGCTTTGTACTAGTCTGTTAAGTTAAGGAATTCATCATTCAAGGCTTTTTCGATAAAATTCAAATTTTTATGAGAGAAAACGATGTTTTTATCATCAGCAAAAATAATGAAGTCTAAAAACCTTTGAGACATCATACATATCAATGATGTAAATTAGAAAGAGCAGAGGACCAAGAATGGAGCCCAGGGGGGCACCACACTTGATATTTGAATAGGATGAATCAAATCGATTTAAACTGAACAATATGTTGTCTATCGTTGAGATAGTCTTCAAGCCAGTTAAATGCAACACCGCGAAAATCATTGTGTAGAAGCTTCTCAAATAAAATTTCATGGTTTACCGTGTCAAATGCCTAAATATACCTACTGTTCTCTCATTATTATCAATAGCAGAATAAATTTTGTCATATAAAAGAGCTAAGGTATATTCAGTTGAATGCTGTTTACGAAAACCGAATTGACTATCGGATAGTATCTTATATTTACTCAAATAATCAACAATACGATTTTGGACAAGTTTTTATAAAATTTTAGAGAAAGAGGGAAGAACAGAAATAGGTCTGTAATTTGAAAATAATGACTCGTCACCAGTTAAACAATGGAACGACACGAGCAACCTTTAGCTCTGCTGAGACAACTCCAGAACTTAACGATAAATTAGAGATATGAGTCAAAGGATTGCTTATTGAAGAAATAGTTTCTTTGAAAAGACTTATGGAAATATTATCGAAGCTTGTACCTTACCCAGAGTGCAAAGTGTTACAAATATTGACTAATTCATGCTTAAAAATTTCAGGACCTCATCGAGCAGCCTCCAAGAGCATTTTACATTCGTTTTTGCCTCTTCAAGCTTCTTCTTAAACACTTGTATAGCACGTTCTTTCTTCGAATTGATTTTAAAAGTGCTTAGATAGCCAGGGTTTGGATGTTGTGTAGCCTTTGGCCAAAACCTTTTTCAAAGGAAAGCATTGGTTAAAAACAGCAGCGTACCTCTCAAGAAAGCTTTTATAGGCTACGTACGGGTCAAAATAACCGGGAAACTCCGTCTAGTTTACATTTTCAAGTTCAGACTTAAATCATGACACATTTTGTTGAGTTTTGAGACAAAAGGTAAGATACCTGTTGCGATCACCAAAAGCATGCTAAAAGCCCAATGTAATAGCAAAAATCAGAAGATGATTAGAAATATCATAAAATAAATATCATAAGAGACCACTAATGCACTGGCTGAGCGGGTCATTCGTGAAGATATCAATAAGTGAGGCCTTGTGAGAAGTTATTCTAGTTGGGCGAGTAATTAATGGAAAAAAAAAATCCATGAAAACATTACATATAAAAAATTTGCCCGTACCATAGTGACACGGGTAGCTCTATAGATTTACATTCCAGTCACCCATTGAGAAAACGGTCTTGTTCTCTTTGAAATATCGTTTACTAATTGATCTATTTCATGTATAAACTCTTGAAAATTTTGGTGTGGTGACCACTAAATACCACCTATCATTATGTTTTTTCCCTTGGCTCTATTGATTTCAACAAATAGCCACTCAGCACAATTGCCAATAAAAGCCAAGTCAGAGCGATGTTTGAGTTCTAAATGTCAGCAATGTAAAAACCGACACCTCCGACGGTCCTACTGACTCGGTTTTTAGGAATAAAATAAAATTATATGAGGCGAATCACTTGCATCATTTAGCCAAGTCTCAGATAAACCAACAACAGAGAATTTCATCGCAATATCTCCCCAAAAGATTAGAAATTTTATCCAGCTTATGAAAAATTCTAGGATTGTTTAAATGGAGGAGGGCGAGATTTTCATAATCATTATTAAAATTTACTCGATCATGATTTTCGAACATCTTATACTTAAAGCTAACCTCTGTGTAATATTCACAATCTAAGTTTTTGATGGTAAAAATTAACGTCTGGATCGAGATTATAGCGTAAAACAAAGTTTCTATAGAAAGTATACAGCAGAGGATTAAATTTTAAACTGAGAAGCCTCTTAGGTTCAAACTTTATATAGCCATTGTATATTTAAAAAATTATTATAGGAAAGTTGTGATCATCTAAAGTACTGAAGGGTAATAACTCTAAAGTATTACTTTACTGAGTCAGCTCGCCGGTTTTTCTCGAATAATTAATCGATCAAGAACAAAGTAAGCGATCTTCTGCTTCTTTTGCAACTCTAAACTTCGGTATCAAGGGTTCGCGGTTTATCAGTGTAGCAACCGCTAAATCCTCGCTGATATGGATGCCACTTAGTTTTTCATCGCGTGTCTTGCGTAGTACTTGTTCTCTCTTTCCAGTCGCGTAATTTGATAACGATGGTGCGTGGCTGACTTGAATTTTGGGCTTGCGTTCGACTCTGTGCGCTTTCTCCATGTCGATGTCAATGCCAATCTTGTTTTTAATGGCCCGGCAACCGACTCTTAAGCCTTAAATAATTCCCGAACAGTTCCCAGGGTGACATACTCATCTGCGCCATGGTCGTCTCAGTAATGACGGCCTGATCTTGTTCGCTTTGTACTGGGCTATCTGGCTTTGAACTCCTTCCTTCTCTTCCCATTGGCAAATTAGATTATAATGGAAAAAACACTATAGATGTTTAGAAAGGAACAGTAGAGAGTAAGTGATAATTAAGTAACATCATTCGGCAACGGAGTTACTGATATCACGTCCGCACGTCAAGGCTTCTGTATGTGAATGTCGATAGCTACCTCAGATTAGTTTCCTTCGCATCTTTTCAATGTTGTCAGCGATGTTGAAAGGTTGCTCAAAGATTCATCGTAATTTCTTTGAGATGTAAACTGTCCGTAAGCATTCTCATTAGGAAAATAGAACCAGAGTGTTTGGATCTTTGACAGACAAGACATCTTCCCAGCTCCCCCCCCCCCAAGTGAAACGTTGGGGGGAGGGTACGGCTACAAGTAGGTTAACACCTTTATTGAAATGAAAAAGACAAATTTTTCTACAATGGATATCTGGCAGAAAAACGCAAGCACGAGGTATCATAAGTTGCAAGGACATGTATTTTCAAACAAAAAAGTGCAGTGAGAAAATGGACATTTGATGAAAAAACCTCGAGGTTGAAAGTTCTAACGACTTAATATACGGCGGGACAGTCTTGAGGAAAATTCGAGCATTGTCATTTGTTCGCTGCGGTCACTCCTCACTGCCATGATTTCGGGCCAGTAATTCTCAGTACGGCCCTTGCGCTCGGTTAGTAAGAAGTTACTTTTTGCGGCGCCTGGTTAGTTGTCTTCCTTAGCACAGCCTTGTTAGAAGGCTATCACATGAAGTCTCGAAAGTCAAACACAAATTTACAGCAAATTAGGGAAACAACGTGCCGTGCCCACTTGGCAGTTGAACTAGACTGGCGCTATGCAACACTTAGGAAAACTTCCTCGAAATAAAAATATTCAAAAAAGAAAACCTGAAAAAAGGATTATGAAACAAAATTTTGCTCGAAAATACCTTGCTAATTCTGCGATCAGCCTTGCGCGATTTCCTTAAGTAAGGCTGGATAACTCTTTGTGACTCTCTCCTCTATCCAACGCCTAAAAAAAGAGCGATGCCCGGAACAGGTGTCCAGGTCCGATTGCTGGAAGGTGAGTTTAGAATTGGCGCTCGATGTAATATTAAATATATATTACGGCCTCAACATTGGTATTGCTGACAGTCTTTAAATGATAGCTGAAGTATCAAAAGCATCATCTTTTTCTCGACTAAGCTGTTTTATCCTGCGAACACCTTCCCCCTACAAATGCCTTAGAAGATTTATTTCAATTTCCGAGAATTTTGTAACAAGAACTCTCAATTAGAGAAGAATGTTCCAAACTCAGCTAAGATTCTTTGTTTAAATCAGTGATTTCAAATGGCACACCGTTCATTATGTGTCCTCAACTCTAGTTCATCTTATCTATCTCATTCCGTTTCCAGTTCTTCGCTTATTTCACTCTTTTTTTTTCTTTGCGTCTGTTTCGTCTGTAATCTGACCTTTGATCCTTTCCCCAATATTTTTTCTTCACTATTATTTTTTCCTCTCTTTCCTACCCTTATTCTTTTTGCTTGTTTTGTTTTCTGCTTATTGGCTCCACCAAGTAACAGTTGAGTGACGTCACGTTGTGCACAACGGCATCAATGTAACCCTGCGTGAGATTGCCTTTATGAAGTTAACAAGTCTCACAGCGATGACTAACTGATAAGAGAAATTAAAATTGCAAGATGGGAACAACATTGCATTACGTTTAGACTTGCGTAACGAACGCCTGAGTGTGTTACATCCACACTAGTATCAGTTTCCAGCCCGTCTTCAACGTCTTAGGCAGGGAACCGTTGACCTACAGGTATAAATAATTGAATTGTCCTCTTTCAAGTCTACAATGAAGCACAAACGCCTGTCGCTAATTATGGAATGTTCTATTGTAAACAATTTCGCTAGGGGAAATAGACGAGAATTTGAAACGAAAGCTGGGATAAAAACCAATCTGCTGCCGTCAGCTATGCAAGGTTTGTTTACTGCATTGATTTCCTTATCGCATACGGCGCTAACTGCTAAATTTGCCTTAAATGCCGGATTAAAAGATAGGATGCCTAATTAGATTTTGTTGCGACGTAAATGAATTAAATAAAATGGTCCCGTTTTAGTCTTAAACTATTCCTCTATCTGATACAAATGTATCAAATTGAAACGAACTTGCTTTCTAATGCGCTTCTCATGAGCAAAGTTCATTTTCCCCAACTCGGGACACTCATTTCCGTCATTTTGCGACTATCAACGCTAAGTTATCGCGAATTTTCTAGAAGAAAGAGGCAAGTCTGGAAAAAAAAACTTCATCACGTTTCTAAGTTCACTATTACGTATCCCTGGGCAAAATATGAAGGTTTTCAATTTTTTCGACCATGTGCCACATTTTTAGATGTCCACTCAGTCAACTCAGAGATACACTCTTACTTTTGCAGATACATAAAACCATTGTAGTTTCAAAAGAGAGAGACTCTGATGGCGACCTAAAGAATTGAAGATTAATTACCATCAAGATTTTGTTAGGCATTTATTGCAATGGGCTCACCGAGATGTTCTTAATTAATGCGAGGTGGATGTTTTTCATTTATCTTAAAATCTCAAACAAACTGCTACTACACGGTCCATTGAGGAACCCTCTTTGGCATATAAAGCTATCTTTGCATACGGTAATCGTAGTGCAAGTGAAAAGGGAGATAAGCTTTCCACGGAAATAGGAATTTTCTCCAAATTACCCCGACATCATTGAAAAGGAATAAAATGTAGACCTCCTTTGTTTCTAATTCCTTTATCAAAATGCCGCCATAAAGAGTTTTTCCCGTTATCTAAACAAACATTAACTTCCTTAACCCCCACAAATAATCGCAGCTACTTTAATACTCTTTCTGATATACTAGATTTTGACGTCAAGAATTAAGAAGTTCATATAAAAAAAAAATTAAAGACAAAAAGTTAACTGTTTTTAGCATTTGACTGATAAAACCGATGAAAATCAGGAAATCTTTAGGGAAAAAAAACCCTTTAATTACTGCGCTCAGCCCCATCAATCAATATGTTATCAAACCTTTTGCTACAGCAATTAGAAAGAACATTATCTGTTCGATGGACTTAGTATCAGTATGATTTATTTCGCTCGAGTATCTCTTGTTGCCGTCAAAGTTATGAAAGCTTTTCCGCCTGAGGGTGGTTTGGGCTTGAAAGTGAATCTACAAAGAGCATCATCAAGGTACATCTGGAGGACATCTCAAAATAAAAGAGGAACGTTTGATAGCAATAGCAAGACAATCAAGCTTCGTAAGCTTCGTCGGTACCAATCACTCTGGTTCTAAACTCTGTACTCCTGATTTTCTTATATTTGGCTCAATATGATTAGGATCTGCATTTGTCTATTGATAATTTTGACTATTCTGCAAGTTTTATCAGTAGAGTCTGTGGAGTCAGAACCAGCTGAGATGCGAAAATGTCGACCAGCTTCAATGTACTGCAAAGGAAAAAAGCGTTTCTTTCATAGAAAAAAGGTTAGTCTTTCAATCATCTACTTACACTCGAAGAGATTGGGTAAATTTCTAGAGAATTGATCACACTGAAATTTGGTGCCATGTCCATCGTGTAACTACTTCAGTCGCCGTTTTTAATAAATCATCTCACTGAAAATTTTATCATCAGCTAGAATGAAACTTTTTCTGTAACTGCTGATTTTTCTGCCGGCTCATACTTCACAGAAACTATTTCACTCTTGCTACAATAGGAACGTGCTATGTAAATGTATATCACTGTGAGTTTTGAAATTCTCTTCCTCAAAACGATTCAATTCGACCTGTACGCGAAAATAATTAATTAAGCGGCAACGATCCATTCGTAAATGTATCCTTGACTCTCATAACTGATTTTTAAGGCAGTATTTGATCTAACATTGAAAAATGTAGCTGCCTGTTTAGACGATGAGAAGAAAGTTGAATTGCAGAGTATTACACATTGTCGCGAAGGGGTGCATTGTTCGAATTCTCTTTCCAGCTTGGGTATTTTTAAAATTGTCATGGCTTTTGTCTCAGTTTTCCATTTCTTTGCTTGAAAAAACTCCTTCCACTCATACCTGAGGGATAATGTAATTAAAATTGCCAAGACGGTGGATGGGTTGAATAAATCAGAGACAAACACCATTCAAGGGCAAGATCCGTATTCGGGACTTTGAATGGTAAAAGAGAGTGACCGATTGCGGAGCGTGCAGTTTTCAGTGCACCGTATTTAGTCCAATTATTTAAAATAACACAAGGGCATAAGGAATCATAAAAGCTTCAGCGATTCTGAGCCAACTAAGTGCAAAGGCTAGATCACCTGAAGAACATATCAACAATTAAGGTCAAAACCCCTTTAACCATTACGCAATAGTTTAAATGTATTTTGAATTACGAACATCCAATTCTAGATCAGAAAATCAAAAGTTACTAGAACAAAATTTACCCCGATAAATAACGGCGCGTGTGTATTCTCAGCATTCCTCTAGCGATTTGTTGATATTTCTGAGAGAGTGAAAAAATGCAAATGTGCAACAGTTCTTAAAACAATGCAATTAGGCTAACACGATATGACTTTGGACATTTTTTACTAAGATTCAAGGATAGATTTGGTAATCGCCAAATATTTCATGTTCGAACGTTCCAGTATTTTAATTTTCTCATGTGCTTAAGCCATCAACTTTTAAGAGGCAATAATATCAACAACGCACAGCCCCCAACAGACTCCACAAAACGTGATTTTGTATTGAAATGTTCATCTTCTTGCAGGTTGAAAATACTAGTAATCTGTTTGGGCGAGTATGGAGAAGAAATCAAAGAATATCTGGATCTATGCTTACTGGAATTTAGCTTTACAGATGCACTTTTGGATAGGAAAACTGACTAGATTCAAGTAGAAATAAAAATTAATAATTGTCAAAAAGTCCTTACTGTGTTCACGCATGTTTTTTTCAAAAAAGTATGTTGTGTTTTTTTTCCAGTTCCTGCTTTGAACAGATTTACAGATTTACAGCAGACATATACATAAATGCTTTTCAGCATGTACTTATATGATTGCAATAGACTTAAATCTTAATTAACAAATAGAGAAGCCTTGACTATCCTCTGTTCTGTTGCAAATCACGCAGGGAGCGGTTAAAGCACGAAAGAAGTGTAGGGGGAAACACGAGACGTAAGTGCTCCAGCCGCTTCCTGCTTGCCTGAAGCTTTTCAGTTTTATCTTTCAGGATTTTTGTCTCTGCTCACGTTACAGTAGCGTAAATTACTGCGCTTGGCATTTTTGCAAACCTTTGCTCGCTTGTTCCGAAATTTCACTTTCAATTGACGAAAGAAAAGCTAGAAAGAAGTCTCGGAAAAGGTCGGACATATTACAATTTGGCAGATGGCGTAACAGCTTTAGCTCAGTTCTATACTCTATACTCCAATAGAGCACGCTCTTTTAACCAAAGACAGCACGTGTTATATCCGAACTTCATTATAAATAAAGTTAGAAAGTATAAGTTTTTCCTTAAACTGCATAAATGAGGACTAAGAGGGGGTTGAGGTATGCTACATCATATGATTTTGGTTCTAACATTTCTTTTGAGCGTGAGAAAATTCTAAAATGAGGATTTGGGCGATTTCCCTATACACGGATAAGGTTTCTGTAGGCATCACGCTCAATGGAGCCGTAGCTTTTCGAAACTTACATCAGTCAAAGATCAATCCAAAATTCCCTTTGAAAGTATCAATAGCATGATTGAATGGATTCTCCCCAGAAATGTATCAAAGACTAGGCTAATATCCCGAGAGTAAGATTTCATGGAATCAAGGGCGATCTACCCTAATGGAACGAATAGTGTAGCTCCACAATTAACTGTCATTGCTGAACTCTGTTCAGTTAGCCATTCAAAAACAACGCAGATATTTTTAGAGTGTTGGCATAACACTTGTTGACAGGGTAAAAATATGTCCCTACTTAAAGTCAGCTTCCCGTAGATTACTTGTGTTTTCATCTAGTCTACCGAATGATGCAAAGTGGTGTTAAGTCACACCTGTTAATGCCACCCACCACAGCTAAACAAGAGAGGAAGTGTTTGCATAGTCTCATCTAAAGACGAAGGTGGTTGAAGGACTTCTGAGCAGATTTTGTCTGCGGTTCGAGGATTGAATAACTTTCGAGAATTCGCCGAACCTCGCGAGTTTTTGTGTTACTCCCAAAACCCTAGCATTTCGTTTTAATACGACCGACATCATTTTCTTATTGAGAACTTGTATCCCTTTATATTAACAGTTTCCTACTATTCGCGGCCAAAATGCTCTCTAAAGCCTAGAAAAGTTTATTACTCGACATATTAACCTTCTACAGTTCCAACTGATACTTATCTTTCGACACGAAAATATGTCCCGTTTCCTTAATCAGAAAAGGCGTTCTTCAAAGGTGCTCCGAATTTTTAGTTCAAAATTTCGCTTTTCAAGGGGATAGGTGTAGAGGAATGTTCACCTTCTAGAATATTCGGTTGTTTATCTGGTTATGCTTGAGTCATGTGCCTATTCATGCATGCTGATTTATAACCAGGATAATATGTAATTATTTAGAATGTTCCAGACTCGTGAGCTTGTCTACGAGAGGTCTTATCAGCTGTTGTTGCTGTCTCTCGGTAAGCTGTAAATGTTGTGTTTTATGATAATCCTAATTAGCTTAACGTACTATTTATTTATGGGAGGGCTAACGACGTATGCAAGACGCGGGGAAAGTTGTGGGACTATACTTTTTAATTTTCGGTCATTAGTAGGGTTACTATGGCCAGCCTAATGGCATTAAGTTGTATGACTAAAATTTGTTTTCTAAAATAATGTCATGTTGGCAACAGGTTTTTCTTTCATCGTACCTATATCCTTTCTTACGTAACTGTTATCTGGTGTTGCAAACCGCTTTTTATATAGGATACCCTTGAGGTAGCACCACAGCCTTGTTCGGGGTACAGGTTTAAGGGGTTTTCGTGTCTGGCTTTTCTGTAGGTTTCCTCAATCCTAGATGATACGGTGGTTTGGCCGCCAAACGGAAAAAGATAGCATTATTTTTTGTATCCTTTAAAGAGTGAAGGCTAATATGGAAATATGTGGATGATACAACACTTACTGAGGTGGTCCAAAGGGGAGGACAAAGTGCAATGCAAGTCGCTGTTACGGCTGTGGAGCAATGGTCTATCACAAACAAGCTTCAGCTGAACCCAGATAAGTGTAAAGAAATGCTGATTGACTTTAAAAGAACGCAACACCAGTTTGATGCGATTACAGTAGACTCTAAGGAACTTGAACGTGTAAACAGTGTTAAAGTGTTTGGCGTGACAATAGCCAGCACCCTACGATGGAATTGTCATATTTCTGACGTACTAAAAAAGGCTAATAAGCGTATGTTCTTTCCCATATTGCTTAAGCGCGCAAAAGTTCCGGCTCGTGATATCATTAGTCTCTATCTTACTTGTATTAGACCTGTACTCGAATATTGTGCTCCTCTTTACCATCATGCACTGCCTGATTATTTAAGCAACGACATAGCCCGTGTTCAAAAACGCGCCCTATCTATAATTTCACCAGGCTTATCATATCTCGACAGCCTTTCATTGTTTAACCTAAACTCACTGAAGGATAGACGTATCAAGCAATGTAATAAATTTTTCGAACCAATTGTGTTCAATACCGAGAACAAGCTTCATCATTTTTTGCCACCAAAGAACCATATTACTCATAATCTTAGAGATCAACGTCAGTTTGTTAACCCAATAATGCACACCAAGCGTTTCTCCCTGACATATTTACCAGCCACGTGTAGACAATAGGTCTGTATATTATTCTTGTATTATTCTTGTAAATAACATGCTCTGTAAATATAACTTATAATTTTAGCCAGTATTGTATTGGAAATAATCATACAATTCAGCCTTATTAGGCTGCTATGTGATTTTTAATAGAGCTATCTATCTATCTTTCTATATGTTGCAGACTATAAATGACTACTGAAATTTCTGGAGGACATGATTACAATCCAGTTTGACTACATCATGCTAGCGAAACTATCCAAAGTTCGCATGCACTACACTCCTTGGATTACAGCAGAGTTTAAGAGCCATTTTCCGAGAAAATCGAAATCGCAAGACACTCATGAAAAAGACGAATTTTTTTTCCTTTCGCAAAAACATCCCTTTTAGTAACCTTATTGAAGAAAAATAATTTTGGGTTCAAGCGATTCATTGTACGGGAGAAATTACAAAAAGTTTGAAAAATCGTTTTTTAGCTGGTTTTTCGTACTCAAAACAACAGAATCCGACCGCAACTTCGAGAAAACGGTGAACGCATAAGAAACACTCCCTTATATCGAAACTTCAGCCGAATATTATTTCGTACTTACTCTTTAATTTCCTGAAAGAAATTTGAAGAAAAAAGTTTTTAACATTTACAATCGACAAGTTTAAAAAGGTCAAATTTGTATATCTGGTAATCTTAATAAATGAAGGCGAACTTCAAGTGTTATAAAAGGCCACTGGTATAAGCCGCTTCCTGGTAAAACCCACATAGAATAAAATCTTGGCTATTGAACTAAATTATTGGAAAGTTTTAGCTCTGGAAATCCTATACAGTCCTCGCACTAAAGTAAGCAATGTGAGTATCTTAGTAAATAAAATTTATGCAAATTAGACGGCCCGCTGAATGAATTCATATTTCTAACGCAAAGTTTTGTTGAACGAACAACTTGCCATTGCTTGTTGTGAGAGAAGTTAAATCCATCTCTAAATCTGTTTGTCCTGTGAAGTGGCAACTCATCCAAAGCTGATTTTGACCAAAATGTGTCCAGCAACTTCAGCGCTTGGGCTATCTAAACACTTCCCACGCAGCGCTTATTGCGCATCATCAGACGCTTCTGTAATAATGAAACCCGTTTATGTTTTG